AATTCTACATTATCCTTCAATCTAATACTGTACCATAACTTTTTAACATAAAACCAAATTCGAGATCGATTCAAAAAAGAATCAATAATCTACAAAATTAGAAATTCAATCACAATACTTCCCCAACGATTATCATTTGATATTACTAATCTTAGTAAAGCAAACGGCCAAATAGTTCGGAAGGAATGCAATAAGATTGAAGTGCGCCAAACGTTCAACGGAGGAAATCTTGTTTGACTAGAAAAATCAGTATTGAAATTTTCGGTATTTCCAGGGTTCGAACACCAATATCTGACACGATCTATTTTAGCCATGTGTCCAATTTATTAAGTTAAACTTTGTTTGCCACAAAACAACTAGTGTTGAATTAACCAGTCATATTTATTCTAAGATGCAATTTTCTCACTGCATAAATATTTTGCATTTTTTGTAGAAGTTAATTATCTGATCGGTTCGATAAGGTCAAATTGGCAGCTGATCTCAAAACGACCTCTGTTTTGCTGTTAACTGAGGCAACGAATGGTGTGTTAATATTAACGCATCCAAAACGAAATTGTTCTCTCTTAATCGTCTCAAACTGTCTGATGTACCGTACCGGCAGTTTATTTTTCAATGTGCGAGTGACCGGCGAACGAAGTTTTCTAATCCAACTTGTGGCTTCGCGGAGGCTCTGCTATCACGATTATTTTTTTTATTTTTTTTAGATATGTCTTATTTTAGGATCATTTTGAGATTATCTGTACTAAAAAGGATATGATGTTTTATTCATTCTAAGGCCAGTCATCATTGACGGAACAAGTCTTTCTCGTGTGCCAGGGACTGTTACCATATTTGTTCTATATAATTATATAATAACGAGCCCATAAAATATTTGGACATTCATTGCATTATTAATTTATGCCGGATAGATTATAAATCTATGCAATTAAAGGATAATTTAAAAAATGTTGGCCAAAATCCTTTTTTCTATTCCTTTTTTCCACAGTTAGACGAATTTATAAAGATCAAATTAGAAATATATATCCAATAAAATGGCCATTTTTTATTCCTAGGTGTGGTTCCCACCCAGTATCACGCCAAATCATCATCATGCTGTTGCCAGACGTATTTCATTTCACAGTTTTGCCGTTTATTATATCGCATTCGTTAGTTGTATAGCAATGAATTTTAATATGAATGAGTAATTGAAAAATGTAACCACAATAAATATAAAACTAAAATGAAAAAAAAAACGAATGAAATATCCCAGCAGTCTCCCGCGATGTGGAATGTGACTATCGTTTCTTTGTTTCCTAGAACCTCTCCAACAGACGATGTCTGACGTACAGGCACTAGTACTCGTACCGCTCTTTGAGCAACACTGGTCAACGAGAACACTTTCTACCTCCCATAAGTATGATTAATGCTAACATCCAGAAGAGATACTAGTTGCGCCTTCTCAGGCTAAGGCTTTCAGTTGACATATATTGGGAAGATTATATTGAATCAATTACTAAATCTGCTGCTAGTAAAGTTAGTTCCCTGCGTCGTGTTAGACAATTTTCTTGTCCGAATCTATATTACATATTTATAAGTTTTAAATTCGTTTATGCTGAGAATATTGCTGCCATATCTGGGGCTCGTTCTATATATTTAAAGACACTTGATGCTAACCAAAGAAGAATCTGAACCGGCATTTCGTCTTCAGTCACTTTCCAGCCGTTGTAATGTAGCTTCGCTGTGTCTTTTCTATGAATTGTAATTGTTCTACGTGGTATCTAGACTCTATATATTTAAGCGCAGAATTAGATTGGCGGCAAGATCTCATGATTTTACAGTTGAAATGGCTAGATGTAACCGTAACCTTTATGCTAACAGTTTCATTTCTCACACTTCTAACCTGTGGAACTCATTTCCAGCTTCTTTCTTTCCAAGGTTGATCTTCAAAAAATGTCAATGCAATTTCAATCATTATCTTGTCTTCTATTTTAATATTCTTTATCCTTAATATTTTTTTTTTTGTTTATTATATTCTTTCACACTCAGCAAAAATGCTGCGTCTTAGTGACTTTTTGTCTTGCCTGGTGTGAAATGATTAAAGAGCTTACAAAATGCAGGCAAAAAGATGTAGCTAACGTGTTCGCATTTTTCCTTAGTAGTCAATGCCCGAAACTTGAGTTTGTGACAATGCCTTGAAAATTTCTGCTGCACATTCTCCCATGAGCACGGCATAAAAATTAATTTACATAATCCTAATAAGGAGTATTTAAGGGTTTGTCTAAGTAGTTTCGATGTTGTAAGCTCCAATGTTTATTTACTTTTCGCTTAAAGAAATTCAGGAACGTAAGGTTTTCAGCTGACGTATATTGACATTATATTGACATTATATTGACATTATATTGACATATGTCAGGAACTGACATTGAATTCCGACAGAGGCTACTTCCTAAAAGATACGTGGCTCTGATACTCACTATGTATTCTATTCAATTCTTTTTTCATTGGAAATATCATAGTAATTTTATGATAATTGTGTAAGAAATAGTGTTTTCAGTATTGCCTGAGATGATTCCAAATATGGAGGTGTTAGGAAGGTTTCCTTACGTTATGTGTTCGTCTCTATTCTTTCAAATTTGGTAGTAAGTTTAACAGCCTTTTCTTGCTACTACCTAGCCAGACAAGGACCTTATTGTGAGAGCCCATTTCTTCAAAGTTTTTCTTTCTGCCAAATTGTATTCTACCAAGACTAATAAGAACATGCAGTTATATGTACTAGATGTTCAGTTATTGCCTAAATGCTGAATTATGCAAATTAGTTGATTAATAGCCTGTTTCAAGGGGGTCTTCTTTTATCACATCTGCATTTAAAATTTTCAATTTGCAGATATACATCATCGGATTATTGTACACACATATTTCTATCATCAGTTATAGAAAAGGTTTTTACATTCCATTGCAATTAAGGTTCACTACTAATAAAACAAAACTACATTGGATTATTAGGATTAATTTAAAGCCGATGAATTCTGGGATCAGCTTAAATATTGTGCCATCCAATTTTTCGACAATTTTCGCAATAAGGATAAAGTATTTGGATTGAATGTAATTTATTCATTTATTTTAATTACATAAGGCTTTATAAATAATTATATGCCACATCGACAATATGGTTTTTAAATGTTACATATTGGTCATAGAACGATGTCATTTAATAATGTAGTTATGCATAAGAAAAAGAAAAAGAATTAAACTTTAAATCAATTTAAGGAAGGTCCATCATTACATATTTATATGTAAATTCAAAGAAACATCCATTCCAAGATGGAAATAAATACATCTATTGTAACGTATATATTATTTTCCTCTGAAGCACGGACCACCTATCGAAGGCACATTATGGTCCAAGAACGTTTTCACCATCAGTGTCCGAGATGAATCTTGGACGTCTGTTAGCAGTCTTGTACACCAGATACAAATGTCCTTCATCGCGCATAGAGAAAATACTTCTCCATAATCAAATGCACTGGACAGGTCATCTGATATGTATAGAGAATGAGCTGATACAAGGCAATCGACGCGCCCATAATCCAAAAACGTTTCAAGGACGTAGTTAAATGCAATCTAAATACTCTTGCCGTTAATTGTGAAAACTGGAAAACTGTTTTGGAAAAGTCATCCTTTCGGCTACTGGTTTAGCCGGTCACCAGAGTGTTTAAGGGCAAACTCGGGTGTATGCAATTCCACCAGAAAAACCTGCAAGTTACTTGTACGATTTTGTGACACCGTTTGTATGTCTGTTGAGTGACATCACATAACTGTACACAGGGACAGGCACATTCCTAACATCGGTAATACAGACTAATTTTATGTTTGCCATGTGTTTAAGGAGTTGGTAAAAGTGATACTGGCCTTAAGAATCACTTTCAGGCCCATGATAGAGCGTTAGATCGGGTATAAATGATGGAAATAATAAAAAGTTTAAATGAAAAACACACACAAAAAAATTACTAAGTAAACAGATGGCTTTCTTCAACAAAGAAGTGACAATCATTATATATATATATATATATATATATATATATATATATATATATATATATATATATATAGTATATATAGTTTATGAAAAACTAGGTAATCCGTATGGGTAAACCTAAGGAGGATAAAATCCAGAGAGCTCAATGTATATCCAGAGCAAATAATTTAAATAAAAACAGACCATTTTATAGTTCCATGTAATAATTATTTCACGACAGCCCTTGTAAAGGACTGCGGAACATCAAACTTTATTAAAAGGGCTGTGGTGAAATAATTTATTACATGGAACCTTATGTGGTCTGTCTTTATTTAAATTATATATATATATATATATATATATATATATATATATATATATATATATATATATATATATATATATTCTATAATATTCGAAATGTATCTGTAAGTTGTCAGTTGTTATGTGAAGTCTACACACACTACATATGTTGTATTTTCTTCATGTTTTAAAAATGAAAAACTAGAAAGCCCTTACCAAAAAAACAGCAGAAAAAATATGGTTTATTACACAGAGTGTAATAGTTATAATCAGTAGGAAAATACAAAGCAGGCTATTCAAATTGAGAAATGCAAGACTTCCATAAGTAAAATGTCATCCCCTGGCTTAAAAAATGTCCATCAAATAGATACCTATATTTCAATATATACGCTGTTTAATTTAAAAACTATTTTATTTCGGATACATCCTGAACATTCGAGAAAACCTATTGCAGAAAATGCAGATTCGACCTTTTCCCTCTGGAGTTTAATCTGATGATCTTTGACCGTTCCGTTACTTTCGAAGAAATCTGAACTAGTAAAATAACTAATTAACCCATAACTGAGGGAGAATAGGTGGTTTCACACATTTTTTCAAGGATATTTGCGCGAAGGTAAATATAACGAACTTAACGGGAATTAGAACTCAGCTATCAGATTAAAAAATTCCAACCACTATACATTACATCAGCCGCACATCCAGGTTTGCAGCATGTGGTATTCCCAAGCGGTCATCCATCTAAATACTGACCAGGCTCGATGTTGCTTAGTAACGGTTATCGTATAGGAACCGGTAATTCAAACTGATATAGCCGTAATCCCTTGCGCGCAATAGGTGAGTGTCAGGAGGTGATGGACATAAACTGAATGAATGTTTTAACAAGCATATACAAACAATTAATATAATGAAATAATAATGATCAAGAATATACGGTCAAATAACAATAATGGCGTCCAGTAGATCTGATCTTTTATTTTTATTTGCAGGTCGACGGCATAGTCATGAACACAGGCCGTGACGTTACATTTGCCCTCCGAGATGATCCGTCCAGTTATATCAACATTCTGACGGGGCCTTTCTCCTACCGATATAGAATTCATGAAATGAAAATCCATTTCGGGACCGTGGACACTGTATTTCCAGTTTAGAATTCCTTACTAAATGTAAATATAATAATTTTATTTATATCTGTATGTATATATATATGTGTGTGTGTGTGTGTGTATGTATATATACAGTGTATCCAAAAAGTGAACATTTCTTCAAAAATTTAAGTATATCTCTTCATGGAAAAATGAGACTTTGACATAATGAAAAAAGCCTGTCTGCAGATATATAACAGTTTATTTATGTTTCCCTAAAATAACTGATTAAAAGCTTTTGAGTACGCCCCTTTTTTAAGAAATTTAAATGTCTAAATTGAGTAAGAAACTAGATCAAATTTTAAAAGAGTCCACTCAAAACAGGCCTCACGTCCAAAGAAGCTGAGCGCACGAAATTCTTTGAAAGATCGGCATTGAATGCAGAGATTAAAGAGATTGGGATTCAGCCTGTTAGTGTTCAGACCATACGCCGCACACTACATCAAATTGTTGTGCATGGCTGTCACCCCAGGAGGAAGCCTCTTCTGAATATCAAAGAAAGCCCGTAAACAGTTTGCTGAAGACATATCAACAAAGCCCAGATTACTGGAACCATGTCCTAATGAGGCGAAATTTAATTTGGTTCTGATGACTTTAAGCATGTGTGGCGGCGAAATGAAACAAAGATAAGTGTGTCATGCCTACAGGCATGGTGGTGGGAATGTCATGGTCTAGGGCTGCATGAGTGCTGATTAAAAATTACATTTCATTGAGAAACGAACTCCAACATTACATCAGCAGAGCATGATCCTCCCTTCAGAAACTGCACATCCACAATACCCAAAACACACATCCAAGACAACCACTTTTTACTGAAGAGGCTGAAAAAGGTGATGGACTGGCCTAGCATGTCTCCAGACTTGAACCCAATAGAACATCTTTGGGCCATCCTCAAGCAGAAGGTGGAGGTGCGCAGAGTAATCCGCCAGCTCCGACGTCGTTGTTGAGGAGGAAGAGCATTCAGTGACTAATGCCCAGGTTTTTGATATAATGGTGGCCACACAAAATAATGTTGTATATTAATGTTGACAAATTTTCCTAAGGGTGTACTTTTTTTTGCCAGATTTAGCTTTTAATGGCTATATTTTGAGTTATTTTGATAAATATATATGCAGACAGGCTACTTTTCATTGTGTCAAAGTGTCATTTTGTCATATAATATATATGTTTTAACATATATATATATATGAATATATATGAATACATATAATATATATATATGATCATATATGTAAATCTATATATGTCTCTCTCTATATATATATATATATGTGTGTGTGTGTGTGTGTGTGTGTGTGTGTGTGTGTGCAAATAATTTTTATGTATTGGATAAAAAGTATTCAATGAAATAATAACATTTGAACAGTCATATTAGTTTACCTATTTTTGTTCAACGTGTTTAAAATCTAACATCATGAAGACATATTTTATTATGGTTCCATTATCGATTAAAATATCAACAATTCAGGATAAACATTTTAGATTTCTGTCTTAAAATCGATATTTTCTTCCTCTCATTAATGGCTGTCCGTTTCCGTGTCTATCTATTTGCATGGGTGGCTCGCCAGTTCTTGTTGCAGATGTCAGCTCAGGCATATCTGTCTTTCTTCAACACCCACCGAGTGAAAAAAGTGCTTTATACTGCAACTATGTTAATCAGAGTTTAGTTAAAGTTTCTTGGAAACAGCATATAATTTAACATGACCAACATTTGTCTGAGCGAAGTACGCTTATATCTTTAGTCACAATGAATTGTGACTTCATGTTAGATAAATTACCGATGTTTTTTGAATATGTAATGTCACCCAAAATTTATGGCATGGTTTGCTGGCAGCCCG